GGTGAGGGGCGTAACATTTCCCTCACACGCTTGAGGTATTCGGCCAATCACAACGCACTGGATAGCTGGCCAATCAGAGCACACCTCACTTTTCAGAACGATGAGCTTTGTAAAAATCAACGCTTTTCAGAAAGGCGGGGCATAGAGGAGAAACAGTAATGTACAGTATGTGGAAAATAATGTGTTTTTTGAACCTTAAACCACATAAACACATTTCATTACACCAAATACACAAAATATTGTTCTTTTTAGTAACATCATATGACCCCTTTAAAGCATAATTGTGAGATATAATCTTGGAATTGCGAGAGAAAAAAAAAATCAGAATTTTTAAATATAAGCTCAAAATTACCTTTTTTTATTATTTTATTCCATGGCTTCCAGACTGCTACTTAACCTGCTGACCAGCCAATTCCTGCACTTATTCATCACTATTAGTGACAAGTGAGTGTGGATTCTAAGGCAGCATTTACTGAATCCTGTTGTTGTCCCAGAATGCATTGCAACTTTCTCAGTGACAATAAATCTGTCCATATAGATGTTATTTATCCACTAAAAAAACACTGTTTTATTCTTATTTTTTTTCTATTTGGGCCCTTCTTTTTCAGTCATCTTCTAAAGTTGGAACATTAGTTTAGACAGGAAATATCTCTGTTAACCTGGAGTGCATATTTTCGGTCTTACAACAACTCTGGCACTCAGTAACCGGCCAGATGAAAATATAGGCCAGAAGGGTACTCTACACAAGTAAGCAGTCATGCAGAGTGTTTGTGTTCACATATTTTCATAGTGTTTGTTTCAGACTTGTCTGTCATTGAGGAAAATGTTTTAATGAGTAAAAGGTCACAGGGTGGACTGCGGCAGTGTGCCCTCAATAGGAAGAGATCATTGGCTTCCTGTTGCCAGTTATTGAGTTCCAGCCCTCAGTGTTAAAGTTGTGGCTGCCTGCCGCGTGTTTGAGAGAAAGAAAAACTAAAGGGAGAATTATAACGAAGAGGTGAAAGTAGCAATCTCCAATAATGATTTTGCTCTTTCGAATAATCTTGAAAGTACGTAAAGGTCTCATGGTAAAAACTTTTCTGAAAGAAAGAATGAGTAATCTAATAACTTTAAATAGTGTAATTAAAATGATTTGGTATTTTCATTGCAGACTATAGTGCAATTTTAGATCTCACATTTTCCAAATACTTTTTAATATGTCATTCATTTGCAGAGAGCTCATACACCTGACAGTACAGTAAACCTTCTACAGTATTTCTGTAGAAATACTGTCGGGAACCCAGGTTCAGATCTCTTTTAGCTGGCGGGTTTGTCGTGGCAGTCTCTGAAAGGGTCACACAGGAAATGTGTTTGCCATGATTCATGACCTCAGCGTGACACCCAGATGAGACGACCAGATGTTTTCCACTCATCATCTTCTCTTTTCTTTTCTTTTTAACACAGTGCAGGATAGTGCTGTATTCTCTATTTGTTTCAACAAACTATGACATACTGTTATAAAACTGATGGAAATATATGTTTTTTAAAAGTGAAACAAAACTAAAAGAAAATAAAAATCACACATGGTACGAGAAAAATTATAAGATGTAATGCAGTAGCCAAAAACATCCATCGAAAACTATAGTTTCATGGGTAAATTCTAAATTCAAAATATTAAATTTTTAACTGTATTTGATATCAGTGTGACACTTTGCATATGTACAAGCATATGTAGCATATTTTTGAATGGTACAAAGGTTATACAATAAGTCCTGAAGCACTTGTTGCAGATTTACCCTAGCTCTCAAAATAAACATTAAAAAGCTGAAGAAATACAGTCAAAACTACAATATTTGTAAAAAATGAGAAACTGGAATTACATTTATTTTGTGTATACTATAAAAAAATCCTGTTAAATTTACAGTAATTTTTAGTTTTTTTAATTTCCCGGCTATCACGATTTTAATGAATACATTTTTTTTATCATCATAACGAAGAAAAACATCAGACAACAATCTTGTACAAAATGTTCCAAATAATTTATTTAAAATGGTATGTTTTTTACGATTATTATGGTTATTATGATTCATATTATTATTATAGAGATCATGTCAGAAATTATTACATTGAATACAGTCGAGGAGGTCAATACCTTGAGGGTCAGGCCAAAATCTCCAGTTTGTACTTTGTACTTTAAAAGAACAACAAAGTGTACTGTATCTGTGGAAAGTGACTGGTTGTTCCACTCAAAGGAGTTGAATCACTCTCACACACATGTGCTCACTCTTCCGGAAGCCATTATCCATATGTCCATATGTGTCTGTGTTTATGTGTGTGTTTTATGAGTGGTTTGTGTAGGTTGCAGGGGTTTGCTGCAGCATATTTATATTCTGTTTTGTGGAACATTTTCCAGACGTTATGGTTGGCACGAGGCAACCCAACCCCCCATCTGTCTGCGGCTCTGGAATTTTATCATGAAAACTGCATGTACAGGTGGAGATGTGATATTTAAAAAAAAAAAAAAGTGACGTGACATGTGGCCAAGTATGATGACCCATACTCGGAATGTAAAGACAGTCTGAGAAGAGACAGGAATGAGAGAGGAACAGGATTGGGACAGGATCTCAAGCCAACACATACAAGCCTATACACAGCTTGGATAGAGACGAGTAGAGGAAGGGCCAGAGGGTGGAATAAAAAAAGTGCATCTATAAAAGTGCAAGTGTAACCCCTCCGTTCCTAACCGCCCCGCACGGAGCGGGACTCTAACCCAGGTCAACGGCATGGGAGGTGGGTGCTAACAAGGACGCTAAAGACCGCAGCCTTTAAAGTGTCAGTCGCTAATGCACCTCTTGAGATCAAAGGAGTGAAGTTTACCTGCACAGCTCTTACCAGCTGGCCTCCATTACACTCACCCCCCTAAATCCTCACTCCAATCCGGGTCACGGCACCAATGTAACCCTCAGGTCCTAACCGCCCCACTCCGATTGGGACTCGCAACCAGGTCGCCAGCAAGGTAGGTGGGCATGCTAACAAGGATGCTGAAGACCTCTTGAGATCAGGGTAGTGAGGTTTCTTAGCAGCTGGCCTCCGTTACACAAGATAGAATACAATAGAATCCGACTTTCATGGCACATGTGTCAAAGATGTCCGTCTAACTCAGTGGCCTCTTATCCAAGTCATAATTTTGGCTTGGATAAGAGGGTCTTGGAATATTGGACAAAGGTGTCAAAAAGGTTGAGAACCACTGGTCTAGCACATTTACATAGAAAAGCAATTAAACAGCAGTGCAGTGGAACACAAAAAACATGTCTGGTGGGAATCAGCCCTGACACTGGATCTTAACCAGGTGTAACGCAATAAACAACAATTCTTAAAATAGGCTTTTATCCTACTCCTACTACTAGGTGTGACCCTGATGAGTGACAGGACATTTAGTCAGTCGTTTGGATTTTATTCCTGTGGTGTCATGCTGGGCAGTCCAGTCCTCAGTCCAAAATCCCATTCCAAACATCAAATATGTTCTGATTGGCTGTGATTGTCACACAACACTTTCACTTTCAGTGTGGACAGAAATATTACTTACTTCATAGCTGTAAACCTGGCTGGTCAGGGATGCCAGATCACTTGTCATATTGTTAGTTGGCCATAGTTTTGAACTCCAAAGCTCATTTTTGAAATGTCATGACTGTCAGGAGAATGCAGCTTTAAACAAACTCCACTATTAGTTCAAGATGCAAATACAGACCCTAGTTAGTTAGGGTCAAAGTATTTTCACATGAAGCTGTCTCAAGAAATAAGAGTTTTCCTTCAGTATAGAGGTAAAATTGTGTCATAAATGGAATTTCTTACCTGCCTTCCACCGAGAACTACACTTTTACTAGGAATTACTATGAGAGCAAAGCCAGGTTTCTCAGCCCACTGTTTCTGTGGTGTTCCTCTATTCTTGCTTTGTTCAGACAGCAGCTGCTCTAAGTCTTCCTCAACCTTAATTTGCACACTTGCTCTTTTCTCCTTCTTTTGGTGTTTTTGATCTGTGTTTTTAATCACTGGCTTTCAGTCCGGGCAGCTGGAAAAGTTTAAGCAGGACTCGGCTCTTAAATAAACAACACCTTTGGGGATACAGCCCTTGATTCCTGTAAAACGTCTGGCCCTTTCACAATGGCCAACTTTCCTTTGTAGAAACAAGAAAGATCAAAACTGTCTCTGTCTCCACCCCTTAGCCTTCCATCACTCCATCTGTCTGGATTTTCCTCCACCATTTTACCCAATAGTTTCTATGTCTTCCAGTGCCACGTTTTTACACTCAGTGTTCAATGTTCACATCCCATTAAAAGTTATAAAAGTTATATGTCTGGGGTTAAAGGAGGAGAGGTTCAGATACATTGAGACATTTGACATTTTAAGGTAAGAATGAGGTGTTTTGAAGAGGTTTGGGAGCTGAAGAAGAGCAATAATTCATGGTTAGCCACAGCGATCACAGCTGTTAAAACAACTTTTTTGTAAATTGTGTAACATAGGCACATGCCTCCCTGACTCAGCTATTTTAAATAGAAAGAGCGTTATTGTAGAAGTGAAAAAGAGAAATGTGTATGTGAGACCACAGTATTATTATTAGCACTATTTTAAAACAGGCAGAGTCATCAGACCACAAAACTGATTGGGTTTGTACGTGAACACTTGCCTTACTCTGAACCAGTCAGGCACCAGTGTTTTTATCATCACATATAGCATACTTTTGATTTACTTTCTTAATAAATCTAATCTTATTGTGCAAGATTTAGTTGAGGGTTGAGTCCGAGGTAAGACCGGATTCACATGCTCTCAATGCCATGACAAGACCAATAAAATATGGTCTTGGAGTCAAGACTCAAAGACCAAGACCATAGTTTCATTCTTGTCTGTGGACTCAGTCAGATATTTTGCCCACAATAAGCAATCTGGAATAGGACACATGAACACACAAAACACATAATTTCTCTGTTTCACCTCCATTTCCCTCCATTCCCCATTCTTTACAGATGTAGAGCAGATGGCGATAGACTGGCTCACAGGAAACTTCTACTTTGTTGATGATGTGGATGATCGAATCTTTGTATGTGATAAAGATGGAACCACATGTGTGACCCTGCTGGATCAAGAACTCTACAACCCCAAAGGCATCACTCTGGACCCAACTATGGGGTATAAACATGCTCAAGCTCACACTTCCTCCATGTACACATCTAGCTAGCTGAATATTTAGCAGTTGCCTTCAAAAACAGTCTTCGCTAGATGGTCAAATGAGGTATACTTAAAGTTTACTCGGGGATAACAGTTACTTGTACCTTTCTTAACATTACCTTCAACAGAAAGGTTTTCTTCACCGACTATGGGCAGATCCCAAAGGTGGAACGCTGTGACATGGATGGACAGAACCGAACGAAGTTGGTGGACAGTAAAATTGTCTTCCCGCATGGCATCACCCTGGACTTGGTCAACAGATTGGTCTTCTGGGCCGATGCTTATCTGGACTACATTGAAGTAGTGGACTATGAGGGCAAAAACAGACACACCATCATTCAAGGCCTGTTGGTAAGGAGCAAATACCAAGATCATTTTAAGATGTCCATAAATGTCCTGCACATGTCCTTAAAAAGTGACCTTTACAGTTACAAAGTCTTACACATTGTTCTGCAAGAATGTGTGTTGCCCAAGAACTAATTTCTCCATTGTTTTGAATCATTTAAATGTCAATGAGTTGCTAAATATGACATAACAATGATCAACTTCCCTCTATTACTGCTCTACAAACAATATTATTTTGTAGATAGCATGAACCTGATTTTATTCTTCTCAAAAGGTCTTTAAATCAACAGATAAAGATCCCATACATTTATCCAAAATATTTATCTCTCTGTCAATGATCAATCTATTCTATTTATTCACCAATCACCTCTTTATCTACCCATCTATTTAAGGTTTATTTATAAAGCACATTTAAAAACAACAGATGCTGAACAGTAGAGAAAAATGCAATGCAATATATCCAAACATCCACCACTCATCCATCCAAGCATCTGTCCACCCATTCATCCTAATGTCCTTCAGTCCAAATGTCAATCTATTCATCCATGTGTCCAACTGTGCATCCATCCATCCAAACATCCACTTTTTAATTCATCTGTACATTCATCCATCCATTTATTCATCCAGAAATTTGGCCATCATCCATTCATCCATCCTATTGTCCATCAGTTAAAAAGTCCATCCATTCATCCACCTTAAAATCAATATCTTCAGTATCTGGATCTGTCCATCCATCCGTCCATCAATTCATCAATCCATCATAGCTTGTGTGGCTAGCTATATATACTCTGATAAATGCTTTAGTAGATAAAAGAGACAGTGGTGTTTTATTTTTGCTACTGACTCATTTTATTAAAGGTGTTTCTGTCAATGCATTAGCTTGGTCCTTCCTCTCTGCTTGAGATATTACTATCATTTAGCTGCTCATTGGCTAATTGGTGTGTTTATGTGCGTGTCTTGCTTACTCAAGCCAGCAGAGCAAACACAACTTCCCAAATAATAGAACTAATTGAATATTTATTATTATAATTTTTTTTCTCAGATCGAGCATCTTTATGGTCTCACAGTGTTTGAGAACTATCTATATGCCACAAACTCAGACAATGCCAACATGCAGCCTAAGACCAGCGTGATCCGCGTCAATCGATTCAACAGCTCAGATTATCAGGTGGTCACCCGTGTCGACAAGGGAGGAGCTCTACATGTTTACCACCAGAGACGCCAACCCCCTGGTATTAATCTGAAATTCTTCCCTTACGAACATTAACCATGGTTTTACTGTAGTAACCATGTTTTTTTGGCTTATTGATTACCATTTGTATAATCACAGTTTTACTATAAATACCATATTTAAACTATGGTTTGTGTAGCAAAATCATGGTTAATTTGTGGTTACCATGTTTTAACTATAGTAACCATGTTTTGTTTGGTTTTATTTGCACAGCTCCAGCTCAGTCTAACTCTCCTGTTATTCTTCTTCAGTGCGGAGTCATGCCTGTGAGCCGGATCAGTTTGGGAAAGCCGGAGGTTGTTCAGACATCTGTCTGTTGGGCAACAGCCACAAGAGCCGGACGTGTCGCTGTCGGTCTGGCTTCAGCCTGGGCAATGATGGCAAATCATGCAAGAGTGAGTGACATTACAGTAGATTCTACTCTATTTGTTGATTCACCAAACAAGTTTTGCCTGATTTAGAAGTTTACTCAAACGAGAGTTAAATTGCAGAGTTCAATGTTTATTCATTAGTTTTGTAACTTTTTGCTGTAGATAGGTGACTATGGCATTATTGTAGCTTTTTTATTATTTAACTCAGGGTTTACTTACGAAAAGTATTACCATGGTTTGCTATGGTATTACCATGTTTTTTGGACATGTGCAATGGTGAAACATGGTATTCTTCATGATATTTTAATGTTGTTACATTAGAATTATACATAATTGTAATTTTGGTTCTCAAATCTGATTGGACATGAAGTGTGTTCCAGACTGTCAGTCTGTGTAATAGTGGTCTTCCTCAGAGTCCACTTTGACTGTTGAGCATAAGGGCCAGATTAACTAAACAGAGCAAATTAGCACGAGAGCGCAAATCTACAAAGAGCAGTGCAAATTAGTGTAGTCGCAGATAAGCAGAGCCGATGATAATCAGGTAATCTACTACCAACACAGGCACAAAATGGGTTAAGATATGTTTTTTTGGGGTTTTAAATAATGGCACAGATATCAGTAAACTGACTACCACAAACCTTATCAAATCACCCTGCATGATTAATTTAAATACTTTCCTCCCATAAATGTTGCGCCTGAAAGGGAAACTCCTACAAATGCATATGCAGTAAGGTCGGGTAAAACAAATATAACTGTCCACACCTTCTCAGTGGTAATGCTTCACTGTCTGTCTCTTGTAAATCCTGACAGTAGTTTTTAACAGTAAAAGAGGGTTTACGCTGGTGCAAACTGTTAGTAAATCTGCCCCTAAGTCTGCTGCCGAGCTCACCTCAGTAAAACGTTTGGGCTCAGCAAACTGGGGTATTTGTGAGCAGTTTTCTGAAACCTAAAATGACATTTGAGACACTCTACGATATTGGCAATATTGTGTCTAAAATATTAGTTATTCAAGTTACTGAGTATTAACTTATTGTTATATTATTTGAACTCTTGACACTGTGACACATCAGTCATGTTTTTTCCAAGCTTATTGATTGTGATTATCTTATTATTATCTTACTCAGCCTGCATATATTTGGGGACAACAGCATTCTCTTATTGATATTAGCACTCTGATTGGATTTGCTTAAATATATGAGGATCATGTGTTTCAAAGGTTTTAATTAAGCAATAAGGAATGAGATGTCATGTTTTATTGTGAAAAGGTATGGCTCAGTGCATACAGAATTGCGAATATCCATTTTCTAATTGGGCCACATATTTTGTACATTATAAATCTGGATTATCCTAATTCATGATTGGCTCAGCCTTATTAAGCATTAGTAATTGTAGGCTCTTGCACATTTTTTCCCCTTATAGTTCCTCAGTGAGTCAAGACTGGGGGTTTGACCCACACTTTAACTCAATCAATTTACAAAAATTAAGGTATTTTCCATTGAACCCCAATATTGATTTCAAGTTGTTTGCTTTGAATATCCAATGAACCATTGGTAATATTGATTTGACTTTTCAGTGACCTCTGAGCACATGACCTTGGAAAATAGAAGAGGCAATTGGAATTGATTGTGAGGAACATTAATACCATCATCATAGACTCACTGTTCACTATATACATGTTTCCAATAAATTTCAGATTTTCTGGAAAATGGCCTAAAACCATACAAAACCACATTTTACCAACATGAATACAAAGAGGACATTTCTACAGCCCAGCACATCTTTCAAAATAAATCTAATATTTTAAACCACCTTTTCTTTGCGACTGACAAGTATGACCCTAAACTAACACATTTGAGTAATTCTGTATCATATTTGAGAAGAAACATGCACTGAGTGAAACATACATTTTTTTCAACACAATTCTTGGTATATATCAAATTCCCAGAGCCTGAGCATGAGTTATTCCTGGTGTACGGGAAGGGTCGTCCAGGTGTTATCCGTGGTATGGACATCAACCCTAAAGTTCAGGATGAATATATGATCCCCATCGAGAACCTGATGAACCCTCGAGCTCTGGACTTCCATGCACAGAGTAACTTCATCTACTTCGCCGATGCCACCAGTTATCTGATTGGCCGACAGAAGATTGATGGCACGGAAAGAGACATCATCCTTAAAGAAGGTGCTGAAATGTTATTTTTTTATTTCCAATTCATCTCATTACTGGTGTTATTAGTGTTGTTATGGTATATTGTCTTATTCTGTATGGATTTCCAGGTATTCACACTGTCGAAGGAATCGCTGTTGACTGGATGGCCAATAATCTTTACTGGACAGATGATGGTCCCAAGAAGACCATCAGTGTTGCTCGGCTCGAGAAAGCTTCTCAGACCAGGAAGACTCTCATTGAGGGCAAGATGACCCACCCTCGAGCTATTGTCGTGGACCCTCGGCACGGGTGAGATCCTTGTCTCGAATAAAATTATGTTTTATTTACAAAGTTCGGGAGGAGCATGTTCAGATAATCAACGTAACACATTGATAAATATATACACAGCCAACTTACCACTGTCCCACAACAGTTTTCCGGCATCCCTCCTCCACCCCAGCTTCTCACTCCTAACTATTCCTATCCCAGCTTGGGGATATGGGGGGATTCTCTGGGTTCGGGCTAAATTCTGAGCTCGGAGCCCTCCCCCCGGACAGCATGCCAAATATGCATACTGTTCGCTCAATCTGATTATATGTTAGTGCAAACTCGTGAAATAAGGTTAAGTTGTACAGCAGTTGTTGGGTTATTTGTAAAATCATAAAATTGAATTGCCCAAAATCTAAAATTTCAGTACGTATAACCAAAAGAGGCTTATTGCTTTAAAGCAATAAGCTTTAAAAGACACTAATGCAAAATAGACAATTCAATTTATAAACAAGGATCATCAGTCAGAACTATGCATTTAGAATTTTTTCATCCTCTTTCAGCTGGATGTACTGGACTGACTGGGAGGAGGACCCAAAAGAGAGCAAGCGAGGGAAGATTGAGAAGGCCTGGATGGACGGAACCAACCGGAACGTTCTGTTGACGTCTAAGACGGTTCTGTGGCCCAACGGCTTGAGTCTGGACATTCCTCAGGGCATCCTATACTGGGTGGATGCTTATTACGACCGAATCGAGATGGTCTATCTCAACACCACTGCACGCAAGGTGCTCTCACACTGCTGATCTAATAGATGATGTTTATATGAGAACACGTGTTTGCGTTTAAGAATGGAAAACATGAAATAACAGCTGAAAACACTAGATCAGTCCATTTACTTGCCAACTGTTGAACATGTAATGTCATATTTTTTCCTCTTAGACGGTTTATGATGGACAGGAACTAAACCACGCCTTTGGCCTGTGCCACTACAAACACTTCCTCTTCTGGAACGAGTACCGCAGCGGCAGCATCTATAAATTGGACCAGAACACCAAAACGGTCACTTTGCTACGCAACGAACGGCCACCCATCTTTGAGATCCGCATGTACGATGCCCAACAGCAGCTGGGTAATTATAATATTGTTTTTGCCCTGTTTTTTGTAGATTGGCAGTGCAAGACCAAATTTCCTAGTAGGAATTCAGGCAGTTTGGCTGTTAAATGTTCATCAGATGTTATCCCTACATGTGTTCATCACAGGAAGCAATGCGTGTAGAGCCAATAACGGCGGCTGTAGTAGTCTGTGTTTGGCCACTCCCATTGGCAGGTCATGTGCCTGCGCTGAGGACCAATTACTGGACTCCGCAGACAACACCAGCTGTAAAGGTAATGCATACTACCAAAATATCCCACCACTCACTGGTGCATCCAGGTCGCACTCAAAATGGCCATTTAATACATGGTCTACAACACCGTTGCCCTCATGTTTTGCCGCAGCACAGCAACTGCAAGTAAATTTTATGTTTGCAGGAATGCAATTTGAAGGTTGTACATTTTTGGCGACATTATGAAAGTGGATAGCATTCACAATGATGGACTTGGGTCACACTCTGAGTTGTTTTTGTGACTAAACGTGTCATAATTTTACATCCATTTTCATGCTACAACACAAAAACTGAGATTTATCACCCGGACGACCGTCTCAGTCTGGGCAGAAAGCCAAAACATAAATGCATTTTTTAATTTGTCCAGATGAATGTGTCTTTTTCTTCTACTTGTTCTTCTCTGTATAATGACAGGTAGCAATCAGTGGTTCAATACTGCCACCTCATATGTTGGAGTGTCAACCAGATAACCAGTGGTGATAGATTAATTACCATAGTATTATCTGTGTAGTATTACCATGATATCAATGTTTCCTTGTTTAACAAACACAGTTATTGTTAAAACCTGTATATTGCGACTCTTCTAATTTGGAGATCAAAGGTGATTAACTATGGTGGTTTGGATATAACTTCATACCCTGAATGCTTAAAAATTCAAAGATCTGTCCACGAGAGGATGAACTACTGCTGAGGAAATCACATGGTAAAACCCTCCATTCAGAGGGACTCAGATGAGAGATGTGAGGAATACAGCAGGATAAGCGTTCATTCAGTCCTGACAGAGAACAAAGCAAGAAACGCTTGCTGAGCAGAAGCAGATCTGTTTGTGCCAGCTGCTCGGTCATACTGGTAGATAATGCATCATTTCTAGGGCTTATCTTGTGACTGACTGTTGATACAATCAGCTGAATTGAACATCAAGCGGTTTGGTTTTTGTGTCTGAATATTGGAAACAGAAACTCTTCAGATGTTTCTTTGCACAGAGGTTGGCCTTCAGTAAACTTATTTACATTTCGTGTGTGTGTGTGTGTTTCTCTACAGCAAACCCGTCTTACATTCCCCCTCCGCAGTGTCAGCCGGGAGAGTTTGCCTGTAAGAATAACCGCTGTATTCAAGACCGCTGGAAATGCGATGGAGATAATGACTGTCTGGACAACAGCGACGAGACTGCTGAACTGTGCCGTAAGAACACACTCACATCATGCGTTTAACTTAAAACTCCCTCCTTGTTTTGAGCTACCACACACATGCAGTGGTTGTTGTTTGTCCATCTGTAGATCAGCACACGTGCCCTGCAGACCGCTTCAAGTGTCAAAATAACCGCTGTATCCCCATGCGCTGGCTTTGTGATGGAGACAACGACTGCGGCAATAATGAAGATGAATCTAACACCACATGCTCAGGTACACACAAACACTCATATATTCATGTTTCATCCAAAAAACAGTGAGGAATCGTTTCCCAAGTCAATTCCAAAACCAGGAATCCATATCTAGTCATACTACCTGATGAGAAATGTCTTTTTACAGTGTATCCTAAACAGACAAGTCTTTTGTCAGTTCACACTGCAGTCAAAAAACAGAACATTTTCTGTGAAATATACAAGAAAGTGGAGTTGGACCAATGAAGTTTCACTATGGTAGTGATTGGTGTGCATTTTAAACTATCACACAAACACACTCAAACACGCACACACACACACACACACACACACACACACACACAAAAACAAAGAAAGATCCAACTAACTTTGCATTAGTCCATCTCAGACATGAAGTTGAAATTGATTCTTTGGCTGTTTTGACTCATGATGTTCTGTCATGATCTTCTCCTAAACTCTGAGTCAGCTGAAATGTGCTCTAGACAGCCATGTATAAATATAGAGTTTATCACACATGGTATATCTGATGCAGTTCTGGGCTCTTCGGCAAACTGATGTGTTATATTTGACTTCATGGCTGAATTGTATGGTTTGCACTCTTTAATTTAGACTGTATCTATTTTAAGGATATGACTGACTATGATGTTGCATTTCCAAGTAATTCTAGACTGCAATGTAGCCATTGCATAAAAATATAAATTCATATAAAACGTAGGAATTAACTGGGAAGCCAAGTCTGGAAATTATATAATATTTGGAATTTATAATTATATTTGGACATTTTCACTTAGGGGTGTACTCACTTTTGTGGCCAGCGGTTTAGACATTAATGGCTGTGTGTTGAGTTATTTTGAGGGGACAGCAAATTTACACTGTTATACAAGCTGTACACTCACTACTTTACATTGTAGCAAAGTGTCATTTTTCAGTGTTGTCACATGAAAAGATATAATACAATATTTACAAAAATGTGAGGGGTGTACTCACTTCTGTGAGATGCTGTATATATATATATATATACAGTGGGTACGGAAAGTATTCAGACCCCCTTAAATTTTTCACTCTTTGTTATATTGCAGCCATTTGCTAAAATCATTTAAGTTCATTTTTTTTCCTCATTAATGTACACACAGCACCCCATATTGACAGAAAAACACAGAATTGTTGACATTTTTGCAGATTTATTAAAAAAGAAAAACTGAAATATCACATGGTCCTAAATATTCAGACCCTTTGCTCAGTATTTAGTAGAAGCACCCTTTTGATCAAATACAGCCATGAGTCTTTTTGGGAAAGACGCAACAAGTTTTTCACACCTGGATTTGGGAATCCTCTGCCATTCCTCCTTGCAGAGCCTCTCCAGTTCTGTCAGGTTGGATGGTAAACGTTGGTGGACAGCCATTTTTAGGTCTCTCCAGAGATGCTCAATTGGGTTTAAGTCAGGGCTCTGGCTGGGCCATTCAAGAACAGTCTATATATATATATATATATATATATATACTGTATATTGTAAACTTAAGAATTGTCCGAATTCTTTTAACATGTTAATGGATATGACACTGTTAATGTATTTGGTCTTGGTAGTACTAGATCTGCTAGATTTTTGATTGCCTTAATCCAGTTAAAGTCATAATCGAAGTAAACACTAATCGAATTAAGACATGTGGAGTACTCCTACTTTAGTCGCATTACTGACGGACACAGGCATAAAAAAATATACATTTTATATTTTAAAAAGTTTTATACATGTAATTTTTTATATATTATATAGCATATTTCAAAAACTTTTTAACATATAGTGTATGTTTATTTGCAACAGTTATGCTAACAACAAAAAAAAGACATTTATGACATTAAAACAGCGACATCTGCCGACGGACACCATACTGCGTTGTCACGGGAATATCCCAGCTGAAGATAATGAGGAAATTACATTGCTCCCTTTGCCAAGTGCATTCCAAATGAATACATAATAGCACGCACGTGCCCTGCTCACTCCAAAGTCCCCACTCCAAGGGAATAGGAAAGTCATAATCGAAGTAAACACTAATCGAATTAAGACATGTGGAGTACTCCTACTTTAGTCGCATTACTGAAGTGCAGAATAGACATGTACACACCGTAGTGTAGAACTTTTTTCCACATTTTGCGACAGGATACACACATGGCAGTGCTCAACTATTTGACGGCAAACAAAAGAATGGCTTCAACAACGCCATTGTCTGTTTGCACGTATAGCATGACAAATAATTAACTGCACTTGAAGCTTTCAGTAAATTAAAAATTAAACACTCAAAAATGTATATCGCATCATAATGAAGACAAACTATATGTTTATATGTGAAATTCTGGAGGGGACGTTGGATGGTGTCACGTGGGGACGTAATGACGTGTGCCATTAATCGATCTATGTACTATAACATGTAAAACGGGAACATGAAAGGAATATTTTAAAAGCAACTCATGTAAACACCTTAATCGTAATATTGTCTTATTCAGAATAAGGTAAATAATTAGATTACTGATGTCCATGTAAACATAATCAGTGAGTCTGTCTAAGATTACTTGAAGCAATGGAGAAATAAATAAATAAATTGAGACCATTTCCACCATACTGAAAATGTCAAGATCCTCCTGTAAATACATCAACAAATACACAGGAACAGGCAGCAAGATTCCCTTCCAAGAATTCCAACCTAGTGGACACTATAGAAATGAATAAATCCTTATTATCGCACAATACAATTCACTTCACTTATAAAACTGCATTTTTTTTTCTCTAAAATTTTAAGTGCTCTACAAAATGAATATGCTATGGCAAATACAGGTGCATCTCAATAAATTTGAATGTCGTGGAAAAGTTCATTTATTTCAGTAATTCAACACAAATTGTGAAACTCGTGTATTAAATCAATTCAATGCACAAAGACTGAAGTAGTTTAAGTCTTTGGTTCTTTTAATTGTGATGATTTTGGCTCACATTTAACAAAAACCCACCAATTCACTATCTCAACAAATAAGAATATGGTGACATGCCAATCAGCTAATCAACTCAAAACACCTGCAAAGGTTTCCTGAGCCTTCAAAATGGTCTCTCAGTTTGGTTCACTAGGCTACACAATCATGGGGAAGACGGCTGATCTGACAGTTGTCCAGAAGACAATCATTGACACCCTTCACAAGGAGGGTAAGCCACAAACATTCATTGCCAAAGAAGCTGGCTGTTCACAGAGTGCTGTATCCAAGCATGTTAACACAAAGTTGAGTGGAAGGAAAAAGTGTGGAAGAAAAAGATGCACAACCAACCGAGAGAACCGCAGCCTTATGAGAATTGTCAAGCAAAATCGATTCAAGAATTTGAGTGAACTTCAAGAGGAATGGACTGAGGCTGGGGTCAAGGCATCAAGAGCCACCACACACAAACGTGTCAAGGAATCTGGCTGCAGTTGTCGTATTCCTCTTGTTAAGACACTCCTGAACCACAGACAACGTCAGAGGCATCTTACCTGGGCTAAGGAGAAGAAGAACTGGACTGTGGTCC